TTTTATTATGAGCAATATGAGCAAATGGCTGCGAGTTTTATATGTGTATACGCAATTTCGTCGTTCACACTTAATTTTTGAAATTGTCATATTCAAGTAAATCTTAGAAATGACAGAACAAAATATACATAGAAGAATGATTTTCTATGAGAAGTCAATCCTGATAATTTCTTGTTCATCAACCAAAGAAAATTGTATCGTGTAAAAATACGATTAAGAAATTCGGCTCATTATATTTTGTTTGTATTGTATCATTTTTATTGTAACTTTATACTGTATCTGTTATTGTCTCAAATCACCCCCTATGGGCGGGGGGAAGTAGAATACGCCCATAGTATCCCTGCTTGTCGTAAAAGGCGACTAAAAGGGCGCGTCTTTGCCAACGATAATAAATTTTAATTTCATATTTTTTATTTTGTTCAATACATTTGAGCTGGTATGCAAAAATATGTAAGTGTTCATACTTGCGGCATTTATCTAAGATCCAATTATTCCCGGTCGTCTTAGCCATTTAAACTTATGCTTTAGAATCATAGAGTGCACCACAAAGCATCTGGCGAAAATACGGTTTTAAATTACGTCGGTAATATAGAATGTGAGACTCTAACTCCCATCGGTTGAGAATGCTTACCACATGCTTTGATTTCTCTCATTTTTGTACTATGGTAAAGTAGATGGTGCTCGTTTTCGAGGTACAAATTTTGTTGGATAGATAGTTAGCGACTATAAGCTAAAAGTAAGTAATGACGGTAAGGAGAGATGTCTCTAGTGTTTGATAGCCCGGGACGAAAGAGTTATCATTCAAATTCAATAATCTTAGAACATGATTCCTTGCTTGATCCCTCTATACTCAAAATCGTATACTGGTCATTAAACCAGTCAATATTTATACTGCGACTTTGCGATGTTGAATATGCTACCTTGTGACGGCATACATGGCTGAAAGAGTTAAGGGTGGAGTCCGGGGCAAATGGTATAATTCCAAAACGTTAAAAAGATCCATTAGCATGGATGTTGTAAATTATTGAAAAAACGTCGGGATTGGTTTGATTATGGTACTGATGAGGCTCGATAACATAGAAAAGTGAAATTGTGACGACGAATCGGTAGAGTCTCGATACTTATAAACGTCATTACGACAGAAAGACCGTGATTACGTTAGAACGTCGAGAGCATGGTCTGCGAGGGTGTGTGTAGAAGGCTCCGTAGAGGATCCCGAGTATCCTCGTCTCGTTTCCTCTCGGTCGTTCTCGTGCGGCTTGGAGCCGGTTCGAGGCGAAGCCGGGTTTTAACGATCGGTCATTAAGTCGCGAAGAAAATTGAGACGTCCACCTCTCGGTGAGCTCATACCCAATTGAGTAGCGGCCTTAATACCCCTTATGTATTATCCGGTAGGCGAAGCACCTTGTTAAACGGATCCGCCATTTCTTCTCCTCGCTTCGTGTTTTTCCACGGGGATCGCGTTCGATCGAAAACCCGACACTACCGTAACAGTTCTTCCTTCTCTTTTTCAATTTTTTACCTCTACATTGGGATATTCGATATTTATTTGTGTATTATCAAACAACGAACAATGATAATCCAACGCGATAAGTTTAAATTATATAATCGATTCGATTCGTGACTCGAAGCACGCAAAAACGACGATAATCCTATTCGATTTACTCTTGATTCACCACACCTATTGCGATTTTACTTCAAGGTACGTAACTCCGAGCGACAGGTTAACGAGAAATTGAGCTTAGTATAACGCGCGTTTAATCGTCATGTGACGCGTATTTTCCCGGCGTGTCGAATCTTTGAGTAATGGCCTCCGAGAACGTAACAGCCGATCCTGATTACGGATCCCGATCCTGTTTTCATCCTGATTGCGGACGTTAATGCGCGTGTCGCTTATCGATCATTGGATATCATGCACAATGTGAACTTGCTATAAATGCGCCTAGAAACACAGTTGAGATAGTTAATGATAGATCCACGAGGGATATTTGCAAATTATTTCATTTTATCGAAAACAAATCGTCTCTTCAATAGAGAATCTCAAGGATTTTCTGTCTTCTTCGATCGACCTCCAACGAATCTTTTCAATAACGAACGATTAGATCAGAATTATTCGGTAATTAGTTTCGGTTAGGCGTGTATAATATCTAGGGAATCGGTAACGAAGTCAGAAGCGCAAAGGCGTCTCGGTGAGCAAGTAGCATTAGCGAGGTGCATCCGTTATCGGCGATCGGCCGACATGGAACAGGGTGAAACCGGTATAAATATGCCGTCAAAGGACAAGTAAGATGACAGCTGCTGTACATATGTGATATATCATCGCTAACAAGCGGACAACGCGCGACTACGGCCCGGTTATGCCGTCCATTGTCGAAGATTACATCGTTATTTCATTGTTTTACCGGCCGATTCAAATTCGCTTTTTGCTGGCCGGCTCGTGCAGCATACATGAATCAATATGTTCCGTAATAATCGAGTTATCGCAGGGTATAACGTTTTCCTACGTCGTTTTTCATCCAAACGTTAACTTCTCCACTAATTGTGGCAAGTATCAATTATCCTTCTCATTAATTATTGAGAGGTCTTCAGGACTTACGATATTTAAAAAGGGAATATCAAAGTACCAGCTTTCTAAAGTTTCTTTCGATTAGTAGATGCTAAAAGATCCGTTATCCCAAAAAGGAATCGGAAAGCAATTCGTACATTGATCAACAACGTGGTTTCTCTGTCAACATTGTAGATTGTCCAATTTTCAGCGAACAGCCTTGAGTCGAAATTAATTAGGGGTTTCGCAGGAAGCGAGCTCGCCGCGAAGGATATCGAGCGTCGAAGGGTGGCGGGGACGAGGCCAATCGTGCGCCTTCATTGCCCTCGACGCGTTTCAGGCCGTGAGCGTTAATTGGCCGGACCAATTAATTCCAACAAGTTCGCTCGATGCGATTAGTGCGCGTACGTGGTGGTACGGTGTGGTGTGCTCACACACGCTCTTCTATCTCTCTTACTCCACCTTTCCATGCGGTTCCTCTTCCTCCTTCTGTTCGCGGTAACAAGCGAACACCGATCTGCCCCCGGAAAACGAAGAACCTGTTCCACACGCGGTGGAGGTTTCTCGCATTCTCGGCTGCTCCGCGACACCAGATACCGTCGTTGTTCTCCCGTGCCTTCGGCCAACTGGAATCGGACGCAATAACGAAAACACAAATTACGGGAGCATCGAACACCGATCGTCTCGACGCGATAATCTCTTGCTCGGGGCTGCCGGTGGTCGCCGCGGATTATTAACCCTTTTCGATACGAACTCTAAGTATGAACTTTCTTGAAAACTATCGCTTACCACCGGTGTTAGAATTGTATTTTTAGATAGAATGAAACATAGCACTAGGTAATTCGGACAGTAATATTGCGTTGAGAATTTGAGACCATAATTTTCTGAATTTCACTCGTTACAGACGACGTTGTGTAAGTTAGTGAAGGAATTTTATGAATTACGTCGGTTGTATTTAAGCTTTCGCTTTGAGACGTTGTTGGCTCCGATCATGAAGCGAACTTACCGTGTATCCTCTCGGAAATTTCATAGTTGAAATTTGAAACAGTGTTAAATTTACGTCGATCCAGATAGTACGGGTACGCGGGCGCAAAACGCAGAAAAGGAATTAGAATTTTCACGAAAATGCGAATAGGCTCGGCAGAGAGGGTCGAGTTTGAGAATTTATCGCGTCGACTGTTGGCTATCGGCGATGATCTCGATCCTCGCTGATAAAATATCTTCGTCGTGCTCGTTTGGACGGCGTTCTCGCGTCGTTCCGTCCGGGACTTGATTGGTGCATTAAATACGCGAACGTATGCGTAGCTTTTGCTCGAAATCATGAGAAACGACGCCTGGGAATAAAGTTGAGGAGTATACGGACCGATTTCGTGCCGCGAATCGTTTAATCGATGCTTTAAATTGAATCTCGTCAATTTGAATATGTAATCAGCTGCGCATGTAATTAACTGTTAACAAGAACGCGCGATTAAAAATTAAAGCATTAGAGTTTCAAGCTTTCGAGTAGAATTTTAAATAATTTCTAATCATCAAGGCGCTTTTCAAATTAAATTCTCCAATTTCTTTCTCTTCGTCTTAATTTCAAAGCTTATGGTTCTCGAGCATCAAATTACATGCTTCGAAGGTGTTAATTGACCAACCGTAACGCGATACGTTTCATAAGAAAAACACAAAGGTATAGGGGCTGTCGGAAACGTTAGTGTATCGTGAATTTATCCGAGGTACGAGCCGTCGTTCAAAATTAGACTCCGGGCGCGTGTATACCTTACGTCCGGAAAGTCCACCTATGAGTCTAAAAGGTCCAGCGAAGCGACGGTGGAGAGAAGGTAAGCCGGAGGTTGATTTATCGGCCAATTAGTCCACCGTACCGGGTGCGCTTCTCTGCTGCGTCTCACCTTCCAGATGATATCCCGGCAAAGACCGGCACACGGGTTAAAACGTCGCCAACCAAACAGAGATAGAATATAGCAGTAAGGGAAAGGGAACAGAGCAGTGCCGTAACTATCAGACCCTTTGGTCATCATTTTTGCGAGTGGTTCAGGATCAATTTAGGAAATTACCAATACCATCGATATTGATATTAAAAATATCGATGAAACTTTTATATAGTCATATTTATTCAACTTTAAGCTTCCATTCAATATACCATAGATGCTATTTTGCAATACTTTTATGTGATGAAATCGGTTCAGACTTTATACGTCCTAAATAACAATCGACAATTTTATATTAAGAAACTGTGATATACCATAAGCATTTGAGTCACCCTTTTCATATTCCGAAATTCCATATGCAAGATGCAAGGTTCGAAAAGATCCTCAAGTGTCATTACCAAAATTTTCTCGCTTTAACCGCGAACGTGTCCAGATGTTGCACCCCGTGAGTCGCGTGGGAACGACGATATTTGTTTGACAAGAGATACGAAATCTCCTCCCTTCTCTTTCTCTCTTTCTCCTTTTTTTTTTTCTCCTTCTTCTGCCGAGTCGCTTACAGCCGAACGACTCCATTAGTCCTCGGATCTATCCCAATCCGTGGTCTGCGGTTAATGGTACAAGCATCCGTTCGAGTTGCGTCGCGCGAGCCTATCTTCCTCGTGGCGTTTGTCACCGTTTAACGTTTAGTATCCTCGTCTCCGAGGGCGAAAATAGACGGCTTCCCTCCCCGTGTCTTCTCAGAAAAATGCCTGACGCTCGAAGAAACAAGATTAAAAGGCGTTTTGCCGCGTCGATCCTGCACTCCGCGCGAAACACCGTGTCCTATCTCTCTGACGGGATGGCACTAGCGATTCTCTCGTTGAAAAGGTGTCCGTTCACCTATCTGGGAGGAAACGATCGAAACCAGACGGTTTCTTCGAGTTATTCGACCAGATATTTCTCCGACGATTGTTACTGGAATTTGTATCAATTAGCAGAATTTATAAAGGTGATAAAAATTGCTTCAACTTTCCAATACGTAATCGCAATTTCGCGTAACGCGACGAACAATCGAATGCCATTGATCGGTTAAAAAATAATGAATAATCCAAGGAATCTTTATTTTACAACCGACGAAATTGCGCGAACGCGAGTTTCCTTTTGGCCAACGTATGAAAATGCAAATGATGAGAAATGAAAAGAGGAAAACGACGAACCTTGGCCCCTCCAGTTATCGCGACGTTATTATGCCCGATCTCGTCGCTGTTCGCGTTATATTGTGAAAATGAAAAATGCGAGGAACGATCTTTAGTATTACGCGAAATATATTCGTCAGGGTAGAGGGACAATTACGTCGAATGAACCTGCGAACGCGGATGATCCTCCTCGCGGAATCGTCGCCCCCTATCCGATTCTGACGGCGGTATATCATCTCGAACGCGCCCACCGTATCGCGAAACGTCTTGCATATCCCTGTTTATGTACGAAAACCGCTTTAAGCGAGTCGTGAATCAAGCGGCGCGAAAATACGAGTAGCCATCTCGAAAACGAGCTTCCCTCGCAGCCTCTTAATGCGATATTGTGTTAACTCGCGGTCCGATAAATTGAGTCGTTTCCCCTTCTACTTCGCGTAATTTTCATGCCCCGAATGGCACTCTTTATTTGGCAGTTTTACGTTCATTTAAAGTAATGCGATGTTCACTCGCGAGTTCCAAAGATTTTATGAAGGGACAGCTCAAACTATCCACCGTTGTCCCGGTTTCTTATAATGTCAGCATTCGTGAAAATGCGAACATAAAAAAATAATATTAAAAATTAATCCTCGACGATGTATATGTAAAAATCTAGCAACCCCTGACAATTTCTTTCCATCGCTAAATAGAATTCCAATCTCAAGCAATAACATCACGCGACTCGAACAACATAGATGAAATTGCTCAGAAATCCATAATCTAATTACCCCGGGGCATTAACGAATTGTTGAAATGTTTCAGGAAAGAAACACGAGTTGTGTTCGCTATTTAAAAGTATCCGATAGGATCGAATCAAACAAGTAACCCTCGGATCAAATTCCAATGTTAAGCAATAATATCACGCGAGTCGAGCAACTTAGGCAAATGATCATGGCGAGCTCGTTACCCCTGGTATCGTTAACCGGCAACCATTTCTTTCCATGAATTCTCGCGTGTCCGCCAGCTCGATCCGCGACGCGATGACACGCGCGTTAGCTAATGCCCGCAACACGACACGGGTTCTTTCGCGTGTTCGTGATTTCCATTCTCTGTTTCGTGTCCCCGTAACGGGTTACCCAGGTCGCAGCTTGTTCACCGGTGTACGTGATGACTCGCCTTTGCCACCATTAGATCTGCCGACTCGAATTTCACTTGCACCGCTGAGAAACGAGCGTTCCACGCTGCCTTGTACCGTTGCACGCTTCGATTCCGATCCCTTTCGAATCCTTTTCCTCGAAATCCCGTATAATTCGGAAGACTTTGACTCACCGTGAAAATTGTGATTTTTTGGTCCATAGGTTAATTATTATAAATAAGTCATCAGGGTATCGCGTTCCGTTCGTAGGACGATATTGAAAGCTCCCAGTCGCGGATGAGAGTGGCAAGAGGTTTACGATTTTACTTTATTGCCCGGACGATGCATTGTCAAAATGTGTTATGACCAGCGCGGGTGTATAGAGCGTGCTTTAATATCCTGTCTGCATTTAATCGCGTCGGTATTAGGAGTATGGCTACGGGTGGTCTCCCATTAACTGTTCGCCACACTGAAGCGGCTTTACTTTACCTACCTCGAATATATCCGACCTGTATTTACGTTATTAGTTCACCGTAACATCGTCAAGATTTTTCCGGCCCGCGAAATTGCCGATTAACGCGTCGAAACTCGGAGCCCTAGGCCAGCGAAATTAAGGGAAACAATGAACCGTGGCAATCTCGTTTAATCCGTGTTCCTTGCTTCGAATTTCAATCACCACTTTTGACGGAAATTTTGGAAAATATTTTGTTTACCATTATGTGAACTTGGCAATTTGAAAGTGAGAAAGAGAGGGTCCGTTTGTAGAAAGGCGAGAGGCTAGGTGTAGCGAGGGAACAATGGAAATTACCAATTTTAATTCCATTGGTGAATCGATGGAAATCGAATTCAACGCGATGGAACTTATTAAACTGTGAACTCCGTCGGTCGATCGCGCGTTGATTTTACGTAAAGGGACAAATAACGTAGATATTGTTTTCTAAATCAGCCCGATATCATGCATATGCATGACGGTACACGAGTTAAAGAAGGAACGATGCGTCGTATCGGTCCGTGTCGAGACAACGATCGGTAAATTTGATAAATATTCATCGGCGGAAGTGCTTGGTAATCATTAGACCCTGAATTTGAACCAAACACATTTGATCGTATTCGTATATAATTGTATAAGATATTTGTGCCGATTGTTTTCCTCATTGCCGTATAGATATCTGAATATTCAATTTTCATAATGTATCTATAATTTCATAGAATATCGGCGGTTACGCGAAACAATTTTTTAACATTAAACGAGACACGAAGATATTTTTCGAAGAAACGTGATAAAAATGATTTTTCGGTGGTTGCATACAGGCAATATTTCCCGGCGATCCATCATATTTAGCGGAGAAACTGCAGGTGCGTAGACCCCATCCTCCCCCACGGCTTCCATCAACCGCTCGTGTCCAGGATTACGCAAGATAAACGCTTTTAATTATTTTTCCCCCTCGCACCGAAACCCTGAAAATCCCTTCGGCAAACACGAGTAATACGAATCAACCCCCAGGATGCAGTCCTTCGCCCTGTTGCCTCCGCCCGCGTGTAACTGTGTTTCGAGCTTGCGCGCGTGTAATATCCGCAGCCGCGTAGAACTCTCTGAAATCAACGCGTTTCTTTTTTGAATAAAAGCGGAATATTTTTGTCCTCGTTACTATTAATCGAAACGTCAAGCTACCACAAATTTCCGGTACGATCATCGAGCTACGCCACTGCTTACGACGTTGTAGGATTGTAGGGGATGTCAAGAAGGAGCAAAAGAAAAGAGTAGGGAATAGAAAGGTGCACACGTGGCAGGAGAGAGAAAGACTGGCTCTTTTAACAGGCCATTATTGCGTGCCGGGGACATTTTCCCGGGCCATTATTGTATCTGAACGATAAGTCGGGAGATAACTGGGCGTCCCGACGTCCCCCCGTCGTTCTCTTGGCAGGCCGCGTGCGCGAGAAAATCGGAATCATTATCAAGATTCGATCGGTGACTAAGCGTTGTTTGTTAAGCGATTCTAGAATCATCCTTGTTCACTCGCATTATTTCATAAGAAAATTTTCCTCTCGAGTTTGTTTTTCGTATTAAAAAAGCGATCGTCGATCAGCCTCGTAAGCAAACACGATAAAAGGGAACAGAGAGTGGAGGTACCAAAGAGTACCTCTGCACGTTCAGGGCTCGCGAAGTTCAATTAGAGGAGCATCGTCCCGTAGCCAGCGATCTTAATTAGCCTTCGTGTCGAGAAGGTGGTCCTTGCTCGCCGTAGATTAGGAAACGTCGATAGGGAGCGTAATAACAAGCGACATTATCCGAAGGACTCATAATTCTACGGCTACCGATCAGGTCGGTAGAGGGATCCTGGCAAAAAGAGAACCGGTGAGGAGGTGGGTGAATAAGGAGGAAGGGATTCGGTGGGCAGCCCTTCAATTATCGAGCGTGGCTCGGCGTGGCGCGGTGCGACGCAACGCGACGCAGCGAGGCGGCCATGTTGCACGATCCGATGTCCACCTTCGGTGTCCGTTCTGGACTCTCGTTCGGGACTCGGCCGACTGGCAGCGGACTCCACCGGGACTATTGCATATGTATTATATGCGATTGTGTTCCGAGAAACTTCTGGCCGACATACGAGGACTCTGTCCATCGTTCTCTCCTTCCTTCTTCGACCTCTTCGGATAAGTCTGTTCCTCTGTCTTCAGGGAACTCTACCAGCAGTCACTTTGCACCTGGCTCGTGTTCCACTCGTTGGCAGCTCTCGTTTCAAGCGAACTCCGGCCCCGATATCGTCTATCCCTTGTCCCAACGATTCTTTTTCGACCTGTTCCTCCTCCTCTCTCGCTTCTTCGTTTATTGAGGGGATGAAAGGAGGAACAGGAGCCAGCCACGGTGCTCGTCCATCTTGCCGCGCGATCGTGCGACCACTGTCGATACAACACACGGCAAATTCGATTCGGCATGCTTTTTTCCGAGAGGAATCATCCTCTGATGATTATTCCATTTTCAATTGGAATCCTAATAGATTTCGATCCTATGCCTCTGATTCGATTTCAATTATATTTCACTTGATTTTCGGGACCATTGAATGCGTTTCGAAACGGAATACCGCGTGTCCTTCCGATCAGTGACGCGTGTATGTTTGACGCATAAATGTCAATGCCTGCCCCGGCTGGCACGAAGCATTGACCCACGGCTCGCATTTAAGTGATTGTATTCCAATTATTTTCATTATACCGCGATTCTAATCGACTCGATAATCGGTCGACAATCGCCGGAAGCATTACGCCTCACGAATTCGACCGTGGGTTCGAAAGAAGCTTCGTTTCACGCGTGTTACGGAACGATATTTCACTTTGACCGTAGAAATTTTTCCGTATAAATCTCTTCGTTTTCTTTGTTGAAGGTATTAAAGGATACCGAATCGATATTCACCGATTCTCGTTCGATTATTTCGTCTTTTACTCGTTAGAACGTATTCATGGTAAATGGAAAATGCCAGAGTTCGTTGTTCTTTTCTTCGATACCGGATTTGCATTCGGAACAGAGCAAGCATTGTTATTGTGTCGTCGTATTCGACTTGTTTGCGAGAAATTGAGCATGTACTGGCAAACGGTTCGCATCGGTAACGCTATACACCACCGATAAGTGACCTCATTAACGTCGCCGTGAAAAATATCTTATGCGGTCGGAATTAATGGCCATTCATCGATGCTAATGCAATTCGTATTGCTGTAATGTTCGGTGGACAAAAACCGGGAGTCAACTTCGTCTCCTTCGACTTTGAAATTGCTGGAAAATCGAAGCTAAATCAATCGTCGATTGAAAACTAGTTCGTTCTATTTTTTCCTTTTTATTCAGTTAACTCAGGTTAAGGTTCATCTGTTTCCGGAGTATCTTTTTAACTGCTGAACTTGACCTACGTGTAGGCAAATACGTGGAAACTTACTGAGTAAGATTAATAGACATTTTGCGTTGTTATTGAAAAAATAAGTTCGTTCTTCGAGAAAGCGAGGTGAGCACGAAAATTTGTTTCAAAGTGTAAAGCGAATCTTTCTTATCTAGTAGGGGGCGGGGGTGGGAACGCAGAGTGGTGGTGAAAAATCTGCTCCGTCGAAGAAAACACCTGAGCTTCGGTTTCGTGGTATCGGGTTCGAGCCGCACAAAGGGAAAAGTCATAAGTCAAAGAAGACGGCAGACGGTTCCTCGTGTCATTTGTCATCGGTCCAACGCTCAATTGTTCGCCAGTCTTGGCCGCCATCTTGCCTGGCCACCCTCCCGATACCTAATAGACCACCCTAAGCATTCAGCGAACTCGGTGATAAATCGTGAAATAATCTCGTTCGGGTCGTATTATGTCGGATTTAGAAACGGCCGAAAGAGCCCGCTTCAGTTCACTGGCCCGTGAGCCTGTTTCATTTTTCGCTCCAACTTTTCACCCGGACCGCCTTCCGCTCGATCGAGAGCCTGTCACGGCCTCAATCCTAATGATGACTTTATGGGGACCATCTTCTGAAATCGTGTATCGCTAATGTCCCAGAGGAGGGTCATCTTGGTACGATTTGCTTTGGGTCAGTGAACTTCTAATTCCTGATTTTTTTTAGGCATTAGATTTTCAAGGATCAGTGATCCAAATTGCAAAATGTAACAAAAGACGATGACTAAGAATTTTTCAAAGCTTGAAATTTTCTTTCCGATATAAATAATTGATTTATCGGGATGAATCGGTAAAATGACCAGCATCAACAGCTTTTATGTTTATATTCTCGAGAGACCTCTTCGTTCAGATTCATTCATGCTTGTTTGCTCATCCTCAATGAACAGTACGCTTTCTCGAGGAGCCACTTTGCACGGATTTTTGCGAGTGGTAAGAATCATTGAAAGAGTTGGAGAGCGTTCGGTAGCGATGACAAGCGTTCGACTCGTCTATTATCAACGATCACTTCATTAATAGGTGCCGCAACAATGAACGACTCGACAACTTCCCTCGCGTGAATGCGTTCAAGCTTCTTTTGAACGCGCAGTGATTTTGGAAAATCGTTTCAGGATGATGATGTTCGGTCGAGCTGGGCTTTGTCGACGATTTCACGGGACGAATTCATTCAGGAGAGTTGTTGAACGTGAATGGGCCGCTCTAGTCACGGTTATGATCTCGAGAGGATGATTCTGTGGCTCGAGTGGACGTTTCTGTCCTCCTGCAAGATTCACCCCCTGATGCCGATATACTTCTATGAAATCGTTATTGAGAAACCTGAATAGAATGAAACGCACCCCATAGAACTAAATTTCGTTATTTTCTATCGAGATTGTGACAAAGATGCACGATTGTTCTTGGCTGTTTATTGTTCGAAGTGTCTCTGGATTCATTGAAGGGTGAATAGAGAAAAAAAGAAAAAGAATATGAGTAACAGTTACGAGTAACGGCCTCGTAAAAAGGTCTTTACAGTATCGTAACTTTCGAATCGCGTAGTTCGTGCGACCGAGTCGTAAAAAGCCTATTATCTAAGGGCTCGCGGCGTTGTACCGACTTTGACGATAAATCCGATATAATTATTTTGCTCGCAACGCGGCCTTTACTGTCCGGTTAAATTAACTTCGCTCCTCGTCTCGTTGTTTCTCGCCAAATAAAACGATTCTCGGAATAATTCATCATTCTTCTTTATTGATAATAAAGGGCGAACGATGGTCGGATCGAAGTGTCTGTTAATTGTACTTCACTGTTAGATGTTTC